TGCCACCCTGTGCGACAATGCGTAATAATATACGTTAATTGTTTCATTTTAAAACCATACATGCACATATATATTTATATGGATACATATACATGAATAATTCGGGAAATTTTAAACAGTTTGTTGATCTATTAATTTATTTCTATTTAAAATTTTAAGAATTTTTTTTTATTATACGAGCGTATTTTGTATTTAATATTTATAAATATTTTAAAAATTGTGAGAAAAAATATATTTTTAATTTAAGTACTTGCTATATATATACAAATTTTTTTTAATTTTCATAATGCTATGTAGGGGTATTCAACTTGTATATGGTATATATTTTATAAACTTGGTATAAATTAGCAATTACATTTGACCCTAATTAAATTTGATTAAGTACTTACTTAGTTTCAAAAACTAAATTTCATTCATTTGCATATAACCGAAATGAATGGTTAAATAAATTGTAAATTTCGTATATCTTCTACATAACCAAATGGAAATTATTTCTGTATAGCGTCTATATCACATACATGTATACCCTAATTTAAAATAGAATTTATAATTCAATTAATTATCATGCAATTATGATTAACAAAACCACAGTTAGTACGTACGAATAATCTTTAAAAGAAGGTGTTACCAATATTATACTTATATAGAAAAAAAAAAACGAAAAACTTAATTAATCTTTTGGTTTGTTTGTTGACGCCTTGAGCATTATTAAAATTTTAAATAGGATTTTGTGGAGAATAGGTGCTTATGCATTCATTTTTTTTTACATAAAATTCAATGCAAATATTGCATTATATGTATATGTATATATAAGTATGTAAATTAGTAAAAGTAAAAATATTTTCCAAATACTTGAATTATAGAAATTAAAAGTTGTTTTAATATTTAATTCACATTTATCTTTATATACATACTTCTTTATTTAAGTACATATTTATATAAATAATATATTATACACAAACTAAGTATCATGGTGGTAAAATTTATTTTATGGTTATATATGAAAAATTTAATTTATTTACAATGTGTGGGTATTGTAAAGAAGTCGTACTTTTATACTACTAAAATATGCTTAAATTTTTCTCATTTAGTTATCATAAATGATTCCAAATATGGTGATATGGTCTTCAAGCATGTTGAAAAACAATACAAGAATTTACATTTATAATTCAATGCAATTTTTAGATATTATTGGTAATAAAATTAAATTACGTCACGAGCAGCAAATTACATTTGCATATTTTTTCCAAAATGAATGCTTAAATTAAGTAAAGTACCAAAATTTATATTGTAAATTTAAAATCAACTTGAACAGTTACATGGGATATAGGGATGAGGGAATTAAAGAAAACCCAATAGTATTTTAAAATTTATCCTAAATTGGTCAATGTTTGAATCAAGATTGAATAAGATTATACTATGCACGAAGCTACATGCTAGCTACCTCAAGATTTATTCCTATTCGTTGTTTTCTTTTAAGTCAAACTAAAAAGGGGTATATATTTAAAGCTGAAATTTTATACACAAATGAATATTGCTAAATATTCACCTCCTACAAAAATTGAGGCCCCTGAAAGTTCGAAAAACACAGAAAAATTTTAATTTCTTTCTTCTACTGTCGAACAGCACGGTTCAACGTTAAAATGGTTCTTGAAATTAATCGCTATGTTAAACCGTTTTTTTTTTCAAATTGATAACATTGTTTTTCTTTTAGACGATGTCTGAAATTTTAGCGACTTCTATATACTATAAATAAGTAATTAAGTTTGTTTAAATAAAAACTCTTACTACTATTCCTGTTTGATGTAAATTTGTTCTCTTTTTGTTGGAAAATAAAAAATTAAATTCTCACATTTAGCTATAATTCAAAATTATGGAAGTTATAGTCCCTTAAATCAATAGGTACACCGTTTTGTCAAGAGATTATAACACATTTCTACTTCGAACACCAATTCTGTTGTTTTTTTATCACATTACAAATAAGTAAGTATATCATACATTCACTGAGCTTAGCGCTTCATTAAAATTCATCGCAAATTTTTGTAAAATTAATAAGAAAATAAAAAGAAAAAAGATTTTGACCGGAAGTTTTCGTCAGACAAACGACGTTGACCTGAAATTGTTTACATTTTACTTACTCTTTTGTAATAAAAGTTTAACGTAAAAAAAAAACCAGTTGGGCGGGATGTTTTTTCTTTCGTATTTCTTGAATACCTTTTAATTTTAAACTTGAAGTAAAAGTCAACACACAATATTTTATAAACATACTCGTACTTAGTTGCTTTTGTTCAATAAATTCAATTGATTATTATCGATCATACAAGTATGTAATTTAAATGTGAAGGAAAAAATAGAAAAAAAATTATTAAAAAAAAAAAAAAATTGTTAATGGACAAAAAAATGCATCAAAACAAAAAGTTCATAGATCTTTATTCCGCAACAACAATATTCTTGATTTGATATTTCCATAATTTTACGGTATTATGAATTTATAGACAAAATACTTAGTGAATATCACCCTAATAAATTTCACCAATAGCTTTGGCTATTGGCAAAAAATCTCGTACTTGAGGAACGTTTTTTTTCATACTAGAGGAACGTTGTTGAAATTAATTTAATAATTCTGAGTAAAATCTGTCAACTAAAATTGTCAAAGGGTTAATAAATGTTTTTTGATTTTGTTCCATGTACTTGCAGCCATTTAGTTTTATCTTAAATAAAATAGAAAAGAAAATTAAAATGACAGTAAAATAACAGTAAATCATTAATTGTCAAAACAGTTATTAGGTAAAAGCTATAAAATTTATAACTAAACCTACATAATAATTAAATTGTCTCAATTGCAAGAATTTAGAATTTACCGTTGACATTATTTATTTTCACAAACTAATAAAATTTGACAAAATCATTAGTTAAAAGATTAATAGCATTACGATATGTCAAATATTTTTAAGAACAGTTAAATGTATTTTATTCACCAAACTATTAACATGTGGTTTTATTTCCAGATACCATAAAACTTTATTCATTATTAGTTATGTTACCGCTTACTTTTAAATAAAAATTAAATTATGAATTAAAACAAGAAAAACTTCTTTTTTTTTTCTTGTTTCTTTATGACATTGTTAAGTGTTTTTTTTTTTCATTTTTCTTTTTGTCTTTTTCCATCAATAGTTTTTATGTTTACATCTAATTATTTATGTAAGTATATGTTATATATGTTCGTAATCTATAAAATAACAGATGTTTTATTAGTTACAGAAACAGAAATAGCTTTGATTCAATTTTATTAATATAATAATAAAATAAGTTATAATGAAAATATTTAATATGTGTTCAAAGTCAAGTCTATTAACATTTTATTAAGTTGAGTTTTAACTCATTTTGAAAATGAATTTTAATTGTTACATCGATTGGATCGAAATGCCATATAATTTTTATTGCTTATACATTAAGCGTTAAATGTATGTATACATATGTACATATACATATATGCACACAAACTTTCGTATAGTCAATAATGCAGTTTAAAAATAGCATTTACCTTTATTACTCATGCAAGTTGAATAATTGTAAATATAAAAGGTAATATGTACTACTTTGTTATATAATAAAATTAGCTATTTATGTACAAAAATATTTAATTTTATTGATTATGATCTAATGCAAACAAATGAAAATGATAGTAGTTTAGAAATATTTTCGAAAGAGGAGTTAGAAAATATGAAATTCGGGTATATTTTAAAAGCTTTTACATAAATTTTTTTTTAATGCATTCAATAATTAAATTGCCGAAGCGGCTTTTTCGACTCATAGGTAAGTAAGTAGGTACCTATAATAGTTTGAACAAAGATGATAGGACATTAAATTGGTTTTGGGTTTTCCCCAAGATGAATAAGAGAACGGGTGGATATAGGTACTCATTAATTATAGCAAAAGCTTTTGATTTGTTTTTATTAAAACATTACGTTTAGAGCATATTGATTTTTGCGGTATTATATTTAAAATATTTAATATGCCGCTACAAAATAGTGATAGATAATGCAAAAATTAATTCAAAAATGCAGTAGGTAATTCCTTATAGTTTTTCTGAAAATAGATTTTTATTTGACTTCTTAAATCTTAGGTTCTATTTAATTGTAAAATTCATTGCTTCAGATTGATAACTAGGTACGTTAATTGAAAATAATTAAGTGAAATTGACAAAATTATACTAAATCAACGGTAAGCAGTATCTTAATATTTTAGAGTACGATAATTTAAAGAGACTTAAAATTATATTATTAATGCCTTAATATATACGTACATAAAATATTGAAAAAATAAAAATCAATTTTTATTTTTGCGTTAAAGTTATTTTCCGATTTATTATTATTATTATTAGATTGTTATGTATAAGTATAGCAATAAAATTATTTGAACTCGTGAACTCACGGTTACTCAATTATTAGTCATGCAATTGTAGAAGTAACTGTGCGGGTAAGTGCCTACTTATTATATTTTCGTAAAATAACTAATTTAGTTTGTCAATAAAATATACATAAATTGGTATCATAACTTAATCTTATCGTTTCCTCTTTTATTTTTATCATGATTAGTATTAAGAAGGGGTTCATTAAATTTATTTTTAAATTTTCTTTATAAGTAAGTACAATATGAAAGGAAGCATGTACGTACATATACTAAAGTATTTATGCTTTACATATTATGTTTGTATGTCTGTACGTAATAGTATTCTTGCACCTAAAATAAAACAATATGAAATTCTTATCGATAAAATTGAACTTGGATTTCAACCTCATTATATTTATGATAAAAAAAAATTGTTTTTTTTTTCGTATCGTCCCACCTCAATCGATATTATGAAAGAGAAATAAAAATATTGAATTACTTAGAATTTTTTTTAAACTAAGTATTAAAAATTAATATAAAGCGTATACTATATAAGTATAAAGAAAAGTAAAAGAAAAAATCATAAATATTTAAAAAAGAAACCTTACCAGTCCGTAGAGCTCTTGTCATCCAGTACATCTTTCCATGCAGAAATTAATTTTTCACGATGTTTTTCAAAACTAATCGACATCGCGATCTATTTTTTCTTAGACTTTTATGTTTATGATTTTTAATTGTTAAGACACCAATCAACTCTTTCTTTCGTTTTTATAATAAAGCAATTACAATGTGCAGAAAAATTATGAAAATTTTTAATTTAAACTCAAATCAAAAAAAAAAAAACAAAAAATATAAAAAACACTTTGAAATTGAAATTTTCACTTGTTTTTTTTTTCTCTGTGTTTTTTTTTTCTTTTTCAGTGTGTTTTGCTTTTTATAATGAAAAACCGTCGTGTACACTTTGATGTAAACAAGAAAATTTTCTACAAAAGAAATAAAAAATGAAAAATCGTGATTTTAAAAACAAAAGAAACAACAAAAAAAAATTCAAAACTAAACCAAAATTCAAGCACAAAGTCGCAAATCGCAAAAAAAAAAAATGGTTAAAAAACTGGAGCACAGCACAGCCCGATTCTATTTTATTCAATAACTCAAAATATATTATGTACATATGCACATAAGTGTGTATGTATGTATGTACTTGTATATTTTTTCAATTATTTTTTTTTTTTTTTAATTCATTTGCATAAATTTCCTTTTTGTACCCAAACACACAATTAGCGGTATTAGGTTTTCATAAATATTCTATTTTTTTTTTTATTTTTTAATTCAAATTATTATTAAAATTCTTTTATAATATTTTCAAAATTTTTTACATTATTTTAATGTTTACTTTTTAAATTAAAAGAAATTCTTATTTTTTTTCTTCTTTTCCACTTTGATTTTATAATTTTTTTTTTTTACAAATAATGCGATTAAATTTTTAAATATTCTTCTACTCTAATATGTTTTTAGATGCAAAGTTGAATGAAAAATACTGTCAAATTTTGTTTTCTTATTGGAAAAATTGTCTTTTGCAAAAGCCAAAAGTCTATGAACTTGTATTGTATGCAATGCAAAGAAATGCCAAAAAAAAAAAGAAAAAAAAATAGAAGAAAAAGCAGTGCCAATAAGAAAAATAACTTTACTGTCAAAGAATGTCAGTCATTTGCAGTACCATGAAAGAATTATAAATTTTTGTTTTATTCCCATAGTATAATGTATTACCGAGAGATGGCGGATATATATACAGTAGAGTGGGTACACTTGAACTAAATATGAAAAGTGGTGCGATTATTTTGTTTTTTAATTTTTAATTACAAAATTATAAATATATTAAGGTTATTTGTAGGTTATATTTGTTTTCGTGAATAGGTATTAGTACGCAGCAACAATATTTTCTATTATTTTCTATAATTTGCGGATAAATTTGTGAAATGAGAAATATTGTGCAGATGACGCTATTAAAATTTGAGTTATATGCTTCATAAGGGTATAACTTTCAAAATCTTTAAACGTATTCGTTTAATAATAAGAAATAAAATCAACCTGCGCATTGTAAGTATGCAATTAATTAAAACGGAATTGGATTTCATACAACGTGACATTGAGTACCGATTTGAAATTTCTTATTAAGAAATTATAATGCAATATTAGCTATATTTTTGTCTTTAGTCATAGTTAAGTTGTTCATAAATTTTTAAAAAAAATAAAAAAAAAGGGGTGATGCACGTTACACTCATGTTTATTTAATTATTTATTCTCCTATTTAACAAATAACTGAGTAGTAGTATAATATGATGTGTTATTCGGTTACCCAGCATTTACACGTACAAGTTACTTGCAAGAAAGTTGCAATACATACAAAAATTTTACTAACACATTGAAATATTTCTACTTGCTTGTTTACTTGCAGTTCAACTTGCAAGAAAATTTTGCTGCCAGTAATTTGAGCAAGTAATTTGACATATTGAGAAATTCACAAAAAAAAATTTGTTGTTTTGATTTTTTTTTTTTTTTAATTTAAAATTTTTGAATTTTGTTTTGAAAAAATTAAACTTAGCAAACTTATGGTTTCTAAAATTTATAAACAATTATATATATTGCTAGTTGTTTTCTTCTCAAAGACATTTTCAAAAATTAACTTGCTAAACGCCTACGTCATAATAGCAAGTAATTTGACATTTCGAAAAACTAATTGACAATTAATATTATACAAACTTGCATGCAAGTAACTTGTATGTGTAAATGCTGGGTTATTTCATTTTTGAAAACGTCAAACGAAAATTTAATATACAAATGTAAACATCTACGTAATGAATTTGAAAGCGACATCTTTTAACAATTTTATTTTGATAAATTTTCAGTTATAAAATTCCTCACAATAAGTTTTGATGTCACTAGTAAGCGTTATTTTCCTTTTTCGTAAACAGAAATATGAAGAATAAATGTGGAAAAATTTATTATTTTTATGTTCACCGTGCTTCTAAAATACTTTCTTCTTATATTATAAGCGCGTATGCTTGTGCCATTTTACAATATAATAAAATATATACATATATATCATAAATAAGTTAACTATATGAGTATATTTACGAAACTCACACATGTATATTGTGTACTATTTTGCACCTATACATCTTTAAAATTAATGTATTTTATATGAAAATAATAAAATGTATATGTATAAAAAAACAGCTGCATTCCATTCAAAAATTCTTCAAATTCCATTCTTAAATCCGCTTGGAGATTTTTTTTTCTTTCGTTTTCTTTATTTTTTTTTTACTATAATATTATATTTGTTCGTTGCTAATGTGTTGTTGTTGTTTTTGGTATTTTGATTCTCTTGCTGTTGTTGTTGCTTAAAAAAATTTTTTTATATTGAAAATTTTTTTTAGTTTAGTAAAGTTTAGTTTTCTTTTCAAACAGAATTTATCTCTCGAGCCGTGTAGTTAAAAGTTCCTTTGTGTGGGTACAGTATTTTTTTGTTTTTTAGTTTTTTTCCGAATTATATATTATAAATTTACAAATTTATTGTAAATAAATAAATATATTTTCAAAATCTTATAAAAAAAAATATTTTTTTTTGATAAATCAGAAAATTTATTAAAAAATTTTTGTAAAACAAACAAAAAATCGCAGTGGAATAAAAAAAAGAGAAAAATATTTAGTACACAAAGTAAAATAACAAAAAAAAGAAAAAAAAAGCAGAGAAATTAAATTCGCGCTTTAATGAAAAGTTTTTTTTTTATTGTGATTTTAGTGTGGTTACCTGTACTTGTGTATAAAAATTAAAAAAAAAAATAAAAGAAAAATTAAAGACAACTTTTGTTTCTGTGTAAAGTGTGAATCTTTTAAAAAAATTTTTTAAACAAAAAAGTCAAATAAGAAATAATAAGAAAATAAAAGGCAAAAAAATTAAAATGTCAAATAAACAATCGCGTTATTCGCATCATCGTCGAATTGATCGCGTACTATATTGAAAAAATTTTAAAATTCGCTAAATCGCTACTAAGGAATTTTTAAAATTCAATAAAAAAAAAATAAAAATTATAAGAAAATTTTAATAAAGAAAATCAACTACTACAACAACAAGAGTAGAGAAATTTAAAATATCAACAACAATAACAACAATATCAATAAAAACAAACTCGTAAATTTATGACAAAAAACAACAACAACAATAAATTCACAAATACCTTTGAAATTTGAGGAAAACACAAAATCATCATAAAGGTAAAAACAAAATGTAGAAAAATAAAACAATTAACAAAAAATTAAGAGAGAATAATATTTTTATTTTAAATTATATAATTCTGTGTTGAGTACAAATGTTTGTATACGTATGTATGGTTATGTTTCAATATAAATTTATATTAACTATGAATGTGGAGTGCGTGTATGTGTATAAATTTGTAAATATGTTGATTTAATTAAAAAGTGTTGCGTCTCTGAATTTAAATCAAAGGTAGGTACATACTTATTAACTTACCTACTATCCAAACCTAGTAGAAAATAATTAAGTTTTCTTACTTTTTTAAATACAAGAGGGAAAATACAAAGCTATTTGAGATCAAAGTTCACGGTGAACTTTATGACGAAATTAAAAATAATATTTGTCATTCTGTTATTGTTGCTAATTATTATTTAAAATGAAAAATTAAAATATTTAATTTGTAATAAGTTGTACAGTAAGTAATAGTAAGTCAATTGATAGTTATTGTTGTATTCCAATAATTTGATTTAGTACAACGTAAATTTCTGTCCTTATCGTAAATGTTTGCTACAGCGCACAAAATTGTTTTTACGATACTGAAAAAATAAAGTCTAATTTTATGTTTTAAATAAGAATTCTTAAAAAAGTAAGTGTAACCATCCATATTTTTTATTTAAGGTATTCATATGTACTTAGTGAGTGAAACATAGCAAGAGCAAGTGATGAACTGCAAGTATTAGTCAAATATTATTTTTAATATTAAAAATTTTGTATAAATTTCAAAATATTTTCCACATTTGATTGCTTATTAAAATAAATGTTTAGCTGCCAAACTATTTCAGTAAGTTATTGAAAATTAACTATACTAAATTAAAATAATCTAGGTTTCAAATTATAAAATAAATAAATATTGACTAGCTACGCCGGTATTTTGTATTTTATGCCGGTTAATTAAATAAATATAAATTTTCATAATATACTTGTGCATATGTATTATGTAGTAATACTTATAATCTTGTATACTTTTATTTGTGTGTGTGCTGAAATGAAAAATTTTAATGTATTTATATGATTTTTTAAAAGAATTTGTATAAGAATATCAAAAATTCAAAATCGAAATAAAATTGTTATCGTGTACTGTTGGTTGTTAAAATATTATTTATTAATTTCTACATTCTTATAAGCCTATGATTATTAGTGAAAATTACGGTCATGGTATTGCCTCAAAAATTTAAGCTGGATTTCATTTTAATGGTTTGTACTGGAATCCCAATGAAATACAGCTAAACAGTGAATTTAGCCTACTTAATAGAAAATTTATAAATTTCGTTTTACTTTTATTGAGTAAGTACGGTGTAAACGAATATATTCCTTTAACAGTGGCAGTACAAGAACATTTAACAATAATTTGAAATTAAGCTCATATTAATTTTAGTTAATACGTTCTATATTTAAATTTTAAAATATTAAAAAAAAATTAAAACTTCCAAAATAATAGTTTTATATCAATCAACTTTAGTGGACTCGGTTAAAATCGGGTTCGCGAATAAATAAAATAAATATGAACCGAGCTTCATAGTTCAAGTTTAGTTCGTGTTCGAAACATTGCTCAAAAATTTTTTTGTAAATAAATATTTTAAACTGTAAAGCTCACTAAATTGAGAAAATTAACTAATTTGTTAATTACATCTCTTTATTTGAAATGTTACTCACACGTAATGCAAAAAGTTCATTAAGTTAACTTGGCAAGCTTAAAGTTTATTTTCTTAAACTCATTTAGATGTAAGTATGTATGTTAGTAACAACTATTCATTTACTAATATGCAATGAAGTTGTGAGGTAAAAAATCATAAAGAATATTGCAATACATGTCAGTTTGTCAACTGCGTTGTTTGACTTACTCACATTTTGAATATCTAGACATTTAGGTCTTTAAAGTAATGCCTCTCTACAACACTCTTTTTATGTCAAAATCGAGTTGATAAATATTTCTAAAAGTAAACCATAAAAAATACGATTAATTTAATTGCGACTTGAAATTAATTTCTGTGGAACATTCTTAAATTTAACTTAGTTTTTAAGAATCAATATTTTCGTTGTCATGAAAAAAGTAGTTATTAGGTTTATATCAAAATTGTTGAGAAAAATGAAAGGGGTTACAATTTCACAAATCATTACTTACATTGCAACTTATCTATCAAATCGTCATTTACATTTGTGAAACGTAGTTACTCAACTATTTAATCTATATTTTTAATAAACGATAACACTATAATAATCTATAAAAGATAAGAGAAAATTTCGCTTTAATTTTGTTTTTTTATGAAAGGATAAAGTTCAAATTGTTATTTTTTTGGCTAAGATATTTTATTAGACTAGGTCGTTATTTTTATTATTACTTATACTTGGAAATTCGGAAAATAAACATTCCAGATAAAATTCCAATTCCAAACATGAAGTATTTTTTGAAACGGAGTCGTCTAAATTCTGTAGAAATCTGTAGAAATCTGAGTTGTTTCTGACATGTTTTATAACGTCGAAAATTTAAGTGCAACCCAGTTTAAGATAACGTTTAACTTAAAAATTTATTGCAAAAATCTGACATTTGCTTTTGATTTTTTACAAACAAGGAAACAGATAGAAAAAGTGAAGTGAATAAGTACATTGCTTTCAAATTTTTATTGTAACTTGTGTTAATCAATCTCAATTAGATAAGTCGTCTATTTAAAAAGCATCAAGTTTAAACATTGAATTTTGAATAACAACTTGAATTAGTAGATAAAGCTTTAGTAAAATAACTGCTTCAACGGTGATCAAGAGATCAATTTCCAACTCATGCAATTTTTATCATTAAAAAGCTATTTCAATTGCTTATGTACACATACTTAACGTACAGTTTAATACAAGTACCCTATAATTAAAACAGCGTCAATTTATTATTGTCATCAAGCGAGTAACACATTATTTGATTTAAATGAACTTTACGTTAATGTTAATTAAAAAATAAATTGCTTAAGGCCCATGAATATTATTGTACAGCCGTTATTTTGATTTTCTTCTTATTATTTAATTGTTTAATTTTAAGTTCACGTACATATATAAAGAGCACAAATAGGTATGTATATATATATATATATGGATAAAAATTTAAACGCTTTACTGAAAAAAAAATCATATTAAAAATAAATTCCTTTCAAATTCCACAAAAGGTAATTTATATCTGGGGGTCATCAATTCTTAATTCCTAAATTATTAAGTAATTCGTGCGATTATAATATAAAAAATTCTTTTTAAAGAAGAGAAAAATTTTACAAAATGAGTAAGAGAAAACAAAGCGGAACCAGCATCCAAAAAAAAAATCATTTTTTTTGGGTCTTGAAATATTTGTAATTGTAAATTTTCATTCTGCTTTTAAAAAGCCATTAATTCTTTTTCTCTGCTTTTCCCGTTCAGCTTGTTGTAATTTACAGAAAAAAAAATACCGACATGATTGAAAAATTCTTTTGTGAAAAGTTCACTTACAATTTTAAATGATAATTTGGGGAAAGATAATGACAACGGGAACGACAACAAATAATGACACTCAACGGTAAACAAAGAAGAAGGCAAAAATTTCTAGAAACAAAAATCATTATTTAGGGTAAAAATACAAAAAAGAAAACCAATAAAAAGATTAGGGAAATAATTTATGTCATCACTTCTGTTGTGAATAACTGTTTCAGTTTATCCACCACTCTTTTAAATTTTAGCTTATGCAATTCTCAATACATTGTGATATTTGCCAAGTTTGACAGAAAAATGGATTTTCGGTAAGCGCCCGATATTTAGGGATATAATAGATCTTCCAAGAGGGACCCGGTGTTCAATGATTTTAATATTTCAACACACAATTTAAAAATAGAAACTACTACAAAGAAAGTGCAATGGAATTATTTGCCGAGCCCATAATAAAATATCTGATTTGACATTGGATCCTTTATTCACTTTGTGAAAATAACGATTTTTGGTTTAATTAACATTGTTTCAAAGTTCTTAATATGGAGCAATGAATTTTAGTAAATTTCATTCGAGCGGATTCTTTCACAATTTTTTAATAAGTAAGTTAAAATTACTTAAATTCACATATATATACATACATATATAGATAATTTTCTGTATGGTATTAAATAACTATTCACAATGGAAAATTACAATGACACTGTAGTATGAAATTATTAAATGTAATAAACCGAATCGTTAATAAGTTAAGCTTAGCTACGCACAATAATTTTCTTTCTTTTTCATTACTATATAATATAATTATACTTACGACATAATTATTTTTAGATCATTTTAGCTGACCTATACCAGATTTATGTTGAATAATTTCATGTCATTCTGTTTATTAGTTTCCGCTTTATTTAAGTCAAAATTGAAAATTACACTAAAATTATACATATTTTATGAAATCAAATTATTTTAGACAAAAAATATAATCAAATGAATTCGGATCAAATCAATGGTTTGTAAAGTAGCACATTTTTGACAAATGATTGTAAAATAGCACATTGAATAAACAAATATCGTGGTTTACGATAAAAGCAGATAAGTATAGTGTATTACTTTAAATTATTCGCAATACAATATGATGAGAGAACAAAATATAATGAGGGCGAAAATTAAAAGAAGTATTAAACTAGTGGTGAAAAAGAATAGTTTTACCATCAAAAAATATTATCTGTAATAATATTTTTTGATGGTAAAACTTTAACTGATAATGTTAATCGTTAGCATGAACTTAGACGAACTATGTCGTTATTCGACTAAATAAAGTGTTAAAAAATGGCATTTTTAACACACTTATTGGACTTTAGGAGGACATAAATTTCACCAGGGGTGTGGTGGGTAAGTATTTTCTTTAAAGAAATAAGTTTCTCAGCTACTTTTGCATAATTTTCTATCTCCTTGGGAGTAGAAATTTTGTTAGCAAACGCAAAAACCAATGGACGGACAAAATGAATTCTATAAGCATATTTTTCTTCAATATTATTGGAAATGTGTTAAAAAACGAAAAAATTATTGTGTATTCGATATTTTAATAAGAATAAAAGCAAAATTTTTATATATTTTCAATACTATAATTTTCTGCTATAAAATATACATAGTTGATTTGAGCTGTGTTTTTGCTGCTTTTTTCGCGAAAATAAACAAAATGAAAAATTCAAATAAAAAGAAAAAATTCCAATATCAAATCTTTTTATGATGACGAATATTTTCTGAAACTGGCCGATTAAGGTGATCAACTCTAAAACTGAGCAAATATAAATGAATGATTAGTGAATAAGATACATTTTTATGGATCCATATCTTCGTTACAAATTTATTTTATGTATATACATACATACAAACATACATATGATCCCATATCGAAACACATGTATGTACATAAAATATTCGTTCAATATACCCACCGTTGGACAGCTTAAATTTTCTTTAGTTGCTTTGGTTCTTAAAAAGATATTAAAGAAAAAAAGTGGTGTGATATGGTAAATTACATTACATACCAATGTTATGAGAAGAGCTGTAAATTCATTATACTATACTTAGTGGTGATTTTGGTTTGTTAAACGAAAATTTTAAAATCTTTATTTTTGAAGTGAATATTGTTGTTTATTGTCTTCTTAACGTAAAAAGTCGTTGCTTTATTAAATATTCAATATCCAGCAAATTATTTTGTCTTTGGAAAAATTAAAAAAAAACAAGAGTATATAATATTGTTACAAAGCATCTGCAACTTAAAAAGTATCAAAATACCTTACCACATGCTTTAAAGAAAATTTTCCGCATTGATGATTACAATTTGGTATAGCTGGAGAGCCCACATACAGATGTATGTAAGTAAGTAAAAAATTTAAAATAAAAGCAAAATAAGTGGGTATTTATGTACATAATAAATTTATGTATACATATTAAATTTATACTTATCAGTTATATAAGCGCATATACTTGTGTAAATACAAAAATATTTCTATGTGATCTATATACACACATGTATTCATTTCGATTTTTTGTTTATTCGTAATTTCCATGAATTTAGGGTGGGAAATTAAAAAATTACAAACCAAATTAAAATTTTCATTCAAAAATAAAGTTTTTCTCTACAGTTATTTAAATTCAGTCATTTTTTTGCTGTGACGAACTTTGATAATAAGCGTGAAGAATGCGTTAAGAATTTGATTTATTAAATCAAAATAAAAAAGTTTTTATGAACGTTCTTCAGCATCAAAGATCGTTTCCAAAAAAAAAAATTGATTTATTGGCGGGCAAAATTTAAGAAATCTCGTTACATGACATTAAAGTATAGATATCTTGTGACTACGCCTGACAGTATGAGGAAAGTCAACAGACTATCCACTTAAAGTACTTGTACATAAATTAGTCTTTCTACAGGAGATTTCTGTATGAAAAAGTTCCTTCTGTCCAATATTTTTAAGTAAAGATTAGCTTTTTTACCAAATTTATTTGTCGAATTCAAAACATGACAAGCTTATCTTGACTAAAAGTAATTATGTAGTTGGAACCAGTTTATCAAATTACTATTTGTGTTACCGCTAAATTTTTGTGACTATTTGAAATTGAGTTATAGATGAAACGCCAAGAAAAAATTAGCAAACTCTGTTATCTTTAATTTTTTGATTTTTCAAACAGCTTTATTTGGATTAGAAAAATTTTTTGAACCCGCTCTAATTATACAAAGGGTCTTCTTGTTTTTTTTGAACAAAACGAATGCAATCACAAAATTAATACGAATACAAAGAAACATTAATATTTTGTTCATCAACATTAAAAACCAACAAAACTGAAGAAAAATGGAAGAAGAAAAGAAAATAAGGCGAATTCCAAATTTAATTTTTCTTTTTGTTTTTTTATTATTATCACTTATGTCTTGTTCCATTCTTGTTTTTTTCCCTCTCTTTTCAACTAATAGCCAAAATTGTTTTTCCAAAATAAAGAAATCTACAATAATAACGAAAAAAAAAATTATTTACGCAAACAATTTTCGTATTAAGTATAACAGAGTGCTATTAAACTCGCCCTGTACAAGTATAACACGAAATTTACAAACAAAGGGATACAAGAGGAGACAAAACAATTTTACTGGTTTTCTTATAAAACCGTCGTAACGCTTAAAACATTTCGTTTTCTTGCCCAATTTTTACACATTGTCATTACAATGATGCCTATATTGTTGCTACAGGAGTTTTTAAACAATCGACAATCGCTGCATTTGACGAACACTGACAATATTTTCAATTAGGTTTTTATTAGTATGATTAGTTATCTGATCCATTTATAGAAGTATGCTAATCGTGTACATGTACTCTTTTAGATTTTGGAATATTCTTCAGATTTCTGTTTTCAGGTATATAAGTCGAAACTCTTCATAATTCTTTTATAATTCATGTAAACAGACTCGTTTATTCGAATTTTTTAATTGACACAAGAGGTGAACATTTGAATTTTATACTATTAAAGGGCTAATTTTTAGTGGATAAGGAAATTTTTTTCAAGTTTTTAATTCATTTAATAAGTTTCTTAAAATTAAATACCAAGGAGAACTAAATTTTGCATTTTAGAAGAAATAATAGATTATAAGGGGTTAATATTGTGCTGTTCCTTATTATTATTTCTCTTTATTTCTTCTATTTTATATTCTCATCTCTTTTCTCTTTATTAGTCTTTTTTATGCTATATATTCTGTAATGGCCTTGCAACCTTGTTCAGATTTCTGTGTTTTGATACTCTGATAATCAAAATAATAAAATGTGAGAATAAAAGGAACATTAAACAGTTATACTAGAGAACTTTGAGGATGCAAATGAAATTTGATATTATGATACTCACGTCCATACCAGACTATAATATTATTAACAAAACATTGCGTTTTGTCATGTGGGTACAAACTATTTGTATAAGTTGTATTCATGTTTATTTCTAATCAAAAGAATTTGACAAAAATATATATTTACTTGTCATAATTATGTACGTATTTACATAACATATGAGCTTGCGTTAGGAACAGCGAGTCTTCCTTAACACATTGCCGACCGATCGGGGAAATCTCCCCGTTTTGAAAAGTGTCAGTGTACGACCCATCGGGAAATCTCCCCGTTTTTGTTTACAAATGCGTAATATTATTGTTTATATTTGAGAACTTCACTAGTTGTGGTATGTCAAAAATTCGCGGTGTATAGCTTATATTCAGTTGAAATTCGTGCGGTCGACAATGTGTTAAAATACGTTATTTTCAATTTCTTAAATAATTGCAACAGTGCCTAAATTGTATGTAATTTAGGTGGTCATTCTTCCGAATTAATTTGACATCTTGAATTGTTAAATGAAAGGAAGATGAAATTGAAAAAGTTTTTGTTTTATTAAAAACCTGATTAAGGATAAACATTATGGGTGTTTTTTGTATTTGGCTTTTAAATTTAAAAGAGAAAAGTATGTGCAGACAAATTTTTTAATTTAACTTTAAATTTTATTTGAATTGATTGCCATTTATTTTATAAATTTAATGTACATAAACATGTCGATTAGCATGACAGTGCCTTAGCTGGTCCATTCGAAGGATCCCATTTTCTGGCGCTTGAAACTTTTAATTGGCCAAATAGAAGATACACCAAATTCATTTAATTTTAAGTTGAAAATTGCTAGGATTTATATCTGAATTGTCAAAAAAATAAATACGAAATAGTATAAACATACCTCGATTTGTTCGTACGACATTCTGCTCTGTATCGAGAAATCCTAAACGCCATTAAACCAAATTTTAAATATCGGATTTAATATACAACTTACATACATATATATAGCAACAAAAATTCTTCAATACGAGCATAAATATACAATAAAAATGCCCCCTTTCGAAAAATTTTATCCCCCTTTAATAATAAAGAATTTACTAATACACGACTATCTGGTAAAAAATAAAGATTTACATAAATACACGCATACATATTTTGTTATTTATATCAAGTAATACCTAGTATACTCGTATTAAGTTTACATATGACGCACATTATGTATAAAATGTACGCAATTCGCCCTTATCTTAGAAATTGGAAAAAATATTATATACGGAATTTGATAGGGGGAAATTTTAAATAAGAATAAACAAAAACAGAGAAAGAAAAATACCCTTATTGAAGGATATCCAAATATAATAACATTTCTTATGTCAATACTAAAATAAAATTTTGCTTGCATGTTTGTATGAGAATTTTTATCACATAAAATATACGTAAACATTTACATATATGTGTGAGTTTATGAATATTCGATAAAAATTTTGTTTTTGTATTCGGCAGATGGTTTGACAGAAAAATGCAGCTAAAATTAGATTTTTTTTTTCTTATTGTCAGTTTGTTGTTGGTGCTATTATACTCATTTCATATTTTATTTTAATAATCTATATTGATTTTTCCATAATTTTGTTGTTATCTTTATTATTTTCTTTCTTTTTCTTACTATATTTTCAGTAAACGTATAAATAAAATTGGAAGAAAAGAGAGCAAATTATTAATAACAAGAGAAGAAAAAAGGAGAAAAGAATATGTGTGTAAGGATATTTTTGTAAGGATAAGGACTTTTTTCTTTAAAAAAATTGAAAAAAAAAACACAAAAATGAAGAAAGGAGTTTCAGTTTTTTGCCGGTTGTCACTGTCTTTTAATTAAAAGAAAATATTTCAAAATTATTTTTTAAAATAAAATTCATAATTAAAATTTAAAAAAGAAAATGAAAGGGTTTTTATTAAAAAAAAATGAAATTTAGTACAATTAAATTAGAAAAATATTAGTGATAAAAAAATTAAATATAAAAAGAAATACGAAAGAAAAAAGGTGTGTTGTCCTTTTACAGTGAGTTGTCAAAAATTACTAAGAATTTTTTCTTTTTACAAGTGAAAATCTAAAATTTAATTATAAGATTTCCGTCGAAATAATACAAAAAATAAATATTTTTCCTAAATATTTTGAATAAATTAAAATTATAGTTTGTATATAGTGAATAAAAATAATAATGGAATCACCTTTAGAAGTACTATCTAGAGCTGCTACAATGGTCCAGGATAATGCAAATGGTGAGTATTTTCAATGATTTTTCTTAAATAAAATATTTTTTCAAATAAAATCAATACAATGACATCATAAATATGGGAGAAACCTAATTATAGAAGTTATATTATAGCATGTAAAATTGCTATGAAGATGTAAGAAAAAATCTGAAATTGGAATTAAATACAAATTAGGACACAAAAATTTATTCCAAGTACGCTGGCAATTCTATATGCATTTCATTAAAAATAATAATAAATGACCTTGATTTAATTTAAATAATATATAGCTCGGATAAAAAGGAGGGGTACACATAGTTGAATTTAAATTTAAAATATGTTAATGAGTACTATTTATTGTTTTTGACCTTAAGAATGCCAATCACAAGTTTTTATTAAATTAAAAACTTATTGTTAAAATTAATGAAGGTACCGCATTGAAACATGTAGGATTTTCTGAGGGAAAATGAAATTAAAATTGATAAAGCTTTAATGATGTTACTAGTCAATAAAGGGTTAGGGGAAAATATTTGAATTTATTTATGATAATTAAGTGCATGCAATTTTAAGTGAAAGATATGAAAAATTATTTAGTTATTCAAAATTTAGAGAATTTTAATGTTGGTTTTAAAGATTTGGAGAAAATTTTAATATCTGTAACAATTATGATAACATAAACAAGATAACATAAATAAGAAGATGTAAATTCAAATCAACAATCTCTAAAGTCTATAGTAAAGCCTATTCTAAATTTTATAATTTTCTAATCTAAAAGCTGATATTAATTTTGGTTTAAACCTAGACTGGAAATCAAAATAAAATCGATCTTTTCTGCTAAAACTTTTTATAGAAATTCAGAGAATCAAGCCCTAAAGATTTTTATATTCCCATATAAAAATCTTTAGGGCTTATAAGATTTAGGGTGTTCATATTCCCATTGCCGGTATTTTTTCAAATTTTTGAAAGGAAGGTATTTAATCAAGTGAATTTCGAAATTTTTATAATTCTAGCCATAAACTTACTTCAAAATTATAAGAGTCTATGATTATTAGACTGGAGTAATTTTATTTAGATTGGGCGAGAAGATATTTTGAGTGTAATCTGTCTTTCTTAATTACAAATTTCTTTTAAAACAAAAATAGTTATTTTCATTTAATTTTTTTTTTATAATTTTGACGTTGTAGTACTTTTCTCTTTAGAAGTTTAATTAAAACAATAGCTAATTAGAAACACTAACAATAAACAAATAAGAAAATTTTCACGACTTAAGTCTTATTTTTAAATACCTATTGTTTTCAAAAATAGAACAGAGTCAGTCAGTTAACGTAATTTTTCCGGTGTCTCTAAAAACTAAGAAAATGTAAAATAAACTTTGTAAATGAAAAGTTGTTGGAAAATAAAATTATTTTTTCTTTTTTTTTTTTTCTGATTTGTATATGAAATACGAGTAAGACATACTTAGTATAATTTAAAAAAAAAAAAATAAATAAAAACAAAAACTGAAGTATGGAAATATTTCTGCTCCAAATTTTTTTTTTACATTTTATCTTCTTCCATTTTTTGTATTTCTTAAGCACCATCGTCATTTTACATCATTATTATTATTATTACTGTTATCATTCCGTAATAACTGACACCCTAATTTATTCAAGTCCTCTTTTTTTTCTCCTCAATTTCAATTCCATAGGTTTAAGTACGACGTATGAATTAGATTAGTAGAAGTCAAAATGTCAGTTTCAGTTTGGTAACGAGAAAAGAAAGGAAAGCAAAAAAAAAGAGTAAAAAGAAAATGAGACGACGCGCGCGCTTTGAAAATATAAAAAAAAAAGTAAAAAGAAAACAGTATAGAAAATGAGTGAATGAAATAAAAAATGAAATAAAAACCCACATTAAGAAGAGTAAATGATGGTAAATTGTAATAGCAAAGTAAAAGACAACAACAACAATAATAATAAAAGTGGCACTAACAATAGCAACAACAACAATTACGACGGTAACAATAAAATAAAATTGAGCAGAAAGAGAAAAACAAAAACAAAATAAAGCAAATGCCGGATGAAAATTCTTTTGTAGAAATTTCAGTTAAACACATTTTACTCTTTTCTTCTCTTTTTTGGTTTGTTTTTATTTTTTAATTTTCATTTTTCAACTTTTCAACTCCTCTTCGTTTCCATCAATCGCTGGTATTGTCATAGTGATGATCATTGCAGCCATCATTATTTATTATGTGATATTCTTTTGTTTTTGCATGTGTATATAGTGCAATTCACTCAACAATTTTTTCGGTATTTTCTACTGACTGATAATAATAATGATTATTGGTATTTGAAATAACAGTAGAAAGCTGTTTGCGTTAAAAATCTTATTTTCATTTTACTATGTAATTATATTAAAAATCACATATGTGTATATTAGTTTACAATGTGATTTATTTATACATATGTGTATATTAGTCAGAAGAAGCACTCAATTTTAATTGAAACTCGTTGTGCTTTATGGTTTTTCATGAAGATTCGAATTGTTACCATTTTATATATTTTTTGTACAGACTTTTTTTTTTGGTGAAATCTTCAACTTTATAGTGTGAAAGCTATTAAAATTAAGTCTGTCTCAAATATTTCATTTTATAATTTCTGTAAAGTAAACAAAACGTAGAGCAAAAAAAAAATTACAGGGAGCCTAACAGTATGCAAATTTCGTTATTTATACAAAAGTTAGGTTTGCTGCAGCATTCCAATATAATTGTAAATTTATCCGCATCTAATTGCAATTAAAAGTATTTCGAAAATTATTTGGATTCTAATTCGGGAATTACACATTTATGCACGGTGATAGATGATCTACTGTACAAGCTGTTGGATAGCGGATTTAATGTAAAAGATTACGTTGATGACGTGCCAGTATGATAAGATTGTAGCTGACCGAATGCAAGGGACCGTGAACATCATTCGGGATTGGACACAAAGCGGAGGGCCTTGTCATATTACGGAAATTTAGTTTGCGTTTTGTTGGTTTTCAATTGATGGTTTTTCGATAAATGATTTCATTTTGAAATAAAAGAGTTGATGACCTTTCATGAGCCGAAACCATGCTTTGGGGTGAGAAGGATAACGATTCTGCGAGTCTTAAATTGAGCTTTGTGGCCCCGGTGGAAGTCTTACGGTTTAAGATGTCTGCCATACTGCAATTTTTTAGGGGCCTAGGTATAGTGTTAATGCCACCTATTGTTGGGAATCACAAAAGATCTTATGGGTTGACGTGAGAAGAGCCTATGGACTTAACTCCGCCCCGGTGAAAAAAATTCATACATTTATTTTACATTTATAAATAAAGATTATGAGCTTCAGGACCATTCAGTTGTTTTGTATTTTTATGTTTAAAAACTGAATAAAAAATTTTTAAAGGATGATTACCGTTATGGCTCGTTAAATATATTTCATATACTGATAAAATATTATAGCATAAGTATAGATAATATGAAAAAATGCAATAAATGCGAATTTATGATACTGAATGTGATTTTAAAAGCATATTGTTAAAAATAATTAAAAGCCAAATATTTTTACGCATGTGTGGTTTATATACATATGTACTTATACATATGTACACATGAATTAGTTTAAAGTTGCATTTCAAAGAAATTACTTCGAAAATAATTATTAAAATCATTTTTAAATTATGTAGAGAGAGATTAAGGTTTGATTGTATTTCGAGTAGCTTAAAACTTTTATTGTAAGTCATATTGTAGTTATTTTCGGGAAGTTATATAATCCTTGCAAGTGTATGCAAAATGGTTTACTTTATATAGAAAGGTTTCTTATTTGCATTATTGTATTAAATATAAAGCATAATTACGAAAATTTATTCCGATAATAACTTTATATTTTTATATTCAAAATAAATTCTTTTATAAGTTCTCACTATTAATTAAGTTCACTTATAAGTTCGTTTCTCACTATATTAATTTAAAGCAGTTCCTTATTAAACTGGTGTCATAAGTGTGAAACCTATTATCAGGTATTTAAATCAAGAGTACTTAAATTTAGGTATTTAAATCAGAGAGGAGAGTTTTCGATAGAACGTTTCGATTAAGATTTGTTTCAATAGGAAAGGGAGAGTAACTTTTAAGATTTGTATTCGTAGGACACAGAGAGTGTTCAAAAATCATAATCAGTTAAATTGTGTTGAATTACGGCCAAATTAAATATTTAATGTTAAACTTTAAAAAATTCTAATGCACTCTGTAATTAAACATAGTATTTTCAAAGAGTTAAAATTTTTGCTACATTTAACAAAAAATTATACGTATAACAATCTGTTAATAAGGTATATTCGAATTTTAATACAAAATAAACCGCATATCAATTTAAATGTAATTATGTATAAATATAAAAAATGCATTTTCTCAAATACAAACAAGCGAATACATTGGTATGGCATGTATATATACAACGTGTTATACACTAGTATAAAGGTATTGCATGTTATGAAAGTATAAGTCAATATATACGGGTATTTATGAAGAGTGCAAGCATAACATCTAAAATATTTTTTTCTCTCTTAATTCTTACATTTGCGCAAAAAAAATGCATGTGTATGTTGCATATTATGTGTATTTCAATGTATATATGGTATATAAATAAATAATGCCATAGGTATGCGTTAGCAACATGTGCTTCAAGGTGGCATATACTTAGTAAAATTCAAAAACAAGAAAACAAGTCAAAACAAAGAAAAAAAAGAAAAGATAATTAGGGTTGATTTTTTTTTAATTTGCTCATATGCATTTATTTATTTATTGATAAAAGTGACCAGATGTTTTTAATTTTTCAAAGAAAAATCAATTTAAGTGATGAGTAAAGTAATTAAAATTATTTATGTATGTTTACAGTTCTGAGGCCTAAGGAAAAATTACCTATGTTGAAAAATTGTGTTCCGAGTTGACTAAATTCAAAGTTTTGAGTATTTCATATTCGGTAACGTAAGCTAATTTTAAAGTGCAGATATACACACTTTGATGCATAATT